CCTGTGGTGTGTTATTTTCTGGATGTATGTATATGTACAAACATGCATATATATATATATATATATATTTATATATTTATATATTTATCATACATACCTACACAGATACATATATGTAGAGATATATGTACGTAGAGAGAGAGAGAAAGAGCTTGAGAGCTTAAGGGTTTAGGGATTGCCGTAATCTTGAGCGTACTGCCGGGTTGCAGAGTTCAGGGGAGGACAGTTCTGCCCGACGGCCCGAGCCGGTGTCTGAAGATGGCACAGAGCTTTCGACCGTAAACCCTACTAATCCTTAAAACCCGAAACTCCCAGGCACAAACCTTAAAACCCTAAAACCATAAAGCCGAAACCCTGAACCCTAAACCTTAAACCCTAAACCCTAAACCCTGAACCCGAATCCCTGAACCCTAACCCCTGAAGCCTAAACATGGAACTCCGAAGCCCTACACCGCCGCCCCCCTTGCAGTCCCTGCGTTTCATGACCTGGCTTGCGAAACTCACGCGATCTTCCATCCTGGGCGCATTGGGGGCTCTAGGGTTTAAGGTTTAGGGTTTAAGGTTTAGGGTTTAGGGTTTAGGGTTTCGGGTTTAGGGTTTTTAGGGTTTCAGGTTTAGGGCTTCTGGGTCTAGGGTTCAAGGTTTAGGGTTTAGGGTTCAGGGTTTAGGGTTCAGGATTTAGAGTTTGGGATTTAAGGGTTTTGGATTTTTGTTTGGATTTAGGGTCTTCTAGGGCTTGCGGGTTTTATCGCAGACGCCTAACTAGGGCTTTGGCCAGGGTTTTGGGGGGTCTCACACGATGATGAGAGGGCAAACTCTAGGGGAACAACAGCATTACGAACTACCTGAGTGCCTTGATCACGGGTTGGGGGTTTAGGCTTTCGAACTCTTGGTGTTTTGCTGATTTCGGAACCCTTACACCCTAACCAAAACCCCCAAACCCCTAAACCTTCAAACCCTGAAGCCCTGAAGCCGTTCAACTCTGCCTTAAACCCTTACACGCTGTAAACCCAAAAACGTAAAGCCTTAAACCATCCTTACACCTTGAACCCTTAAACCCTAAACCTTCACATCCTGAAGCCCTGAAGCCCTTTAACTCTGCCTTAAGCCCTTGGGTAAGTTAAACCATCCTCGAGGCCTGAACCCTTAAACCCTAAACCGGTTTGGTACAGCTCAGCTTCCCAGAGATGTAGCCAGGATAGAAAGACTCATTGGTTTAGGGTTTAGGGTTTGGGGTTTAGGGCTTAGGGTAGACAAGTAAGACGAACGCCAACAACAGTTCGGGTGATAGTACGTTCCCGTATATTTCAAACCTACTACATAGTATTCGTAGTGTCGTAGACTATATTGGAGTGTAGTCTGCTACTGAATTAGACTATGGCAATGCTACGACACGTAGAAACGAAGCCAACGGGAGAAATTAGCAATCATGTTTAGGGTTTAGGGTTTAGGAGGTCCCCATGAGAATCCGATGCAGGGGCTTCGAGGGATCACGGTTCGGTGTGACAAGATGTTATCGGTTTAAGGCTTTAGCGCTTCGGGGTCTAGGGAGACTGCCAAAAAGGGCTCTTTCATGGTTCTAAAGCACTTGCTTGAAGTTTCATTGGAAGCTCTGAATAAGGCCGTCAATGCCTTAGTCGGGGCTGCGCGCAAGCCTAAGATCCTACATCAAGGTACCAGCGCCCCTTCAAGCAGAGGAGGACGAGGAGGGAGCACGGGTTCCTGCAAGTAGCCCCGGTAGCAACCCTCGGAGTAACCTTCTCGTGACCTGATCATCACCTCTTTAGAAGCCTTAATAGGAAAACTTGAGTACTATAGGAGCCTTAATCATTAGAATAAGGTTTTGGGGTCTAAAATACTGAAACTATAATAAGGAACCCCCAAAAGAGTATAGGTAATTATTACGAACCCTAAACCCTAAACCCTAAACCCTAAACCCTAAACCCTAAACCTTAAACCCTAAACCCTAAACCCTAAACCCTAAAGCACCCCTTACAGCAAAGGGGAAGACCCCGGGCAGACGAGGGACTCAGAGTAGCTCCTGGCTGCAAGCGCCTGGGAGCTCAGGTGTTGGGCTCATGAAGCTTAGGGTTTCGGTTTTTTAGGTTTTAGGTTTAGGGCTTAAGGTTTAGGGTTTAGGGTTTAGGGTTTAGGTTTTGGGGTTAAGGGTTTAGG